GGAATGGAAGCAGAACATCTATCAGTCTTCTAAAGAACAGTGAATATTCTCAAGTGAATTGAAGAGGTAACGTAAAACATTTTTAATATCCATTTCAATATCCATGATGAAGCACCTACAGCATCCTTTTGAAAGGGCTTAGAATCTACAGCATCCTTTCAAAATGGATTTTACTTTCAAATAAATATAGTGGATTTCACTGTAAGCCTATTTTTCCAATCTCTTGTGGGTTTGTGACTATGTTACTAGAGTAACATAGTTACTCTATAGCTCTGGGCTTCCCAGTACAAGACAGACATGGATTTAAGCAAAGGGTCACTAAGATGATTAAAGGACTGGGGCATGTCATACAAGATTCTGAAAGAGCTGGTACTGTTTTGCCTAGAAGAGGAAAAGCCTTACCAATGTTCACAAATATCTGATGTGAGAGTGTAGATTCTTAGCAGTGCCCAATGCGAGGACAAGAAGCAATGGGCACAAACTGAAACACAGCTAATTCCATCTGAACATTAAAACCTGCACTTTTTTCAGTAAAGGTGCCTAAACAAACTTCACAGGAAGGTTGTGGAGTCTCCATCCTTAGAGAGATTCAAAACCTGACTCGACAGTCCTGGGCAACCTGCTCTAGCAGACCCTGACTGAGCAAGGGGGCAGGACTATATGATCTCCAGATGTGCCTTCCAACCTCAATTATTCCATTATTCTGTATGTCATTACTATCTTTGTGTACACACAAAATGATCATGCTACCTTAACGTGAACTGAAATCAAGAACAAAAAGTAACCGTGCTCAAGATAAAACTAAAGTCCAGAGCCAAACACAAGCTAGAACTCAGAAAAAACCCAGTCACAGCCAACCATGAAGTTCTGAAGGAAACAGACAAATTTAATCCTAGAGCTATAAGAAGTTCTCCTGGCATCACATTGTCAGCAATGAGCACCTGTTTAGCAGGCAACTTTTCGTTGGTTCAGTTTACTCACTCAAAAAAATGACACAACCATGTCAGCGCCCCCCGCCCCCACTTATGTTGAGTTAAACCTAAATGGAAATATTCCACATCCCCTAACAGCAACACAATGAAAGCATATGTGCAGATACAATCCTAATATGCAAGACCCTTATTTAGTTTGCTTAACCATTTAGCAGAGAAACATTTTAACATGGTTTAAATTGGGATCAGAAAGATCATCTAGTTAGCTATGAAATCCTGTTCAAAAGCTGAAAGACAACAGTCTGTTTAGATAAAAACTGCCTGTCCTTCAGAAACTAGCCTGAAGCAAAAATTGGCTTCTCATTACCTGCTTAAAACATAATGCTGTGGCTTCGAAGTCCCTTTTTTCATTCCCTGTATTACCAGTAGCTTTATCAGAATCAGCATCCTGTTTCTTCTGTTTACAAGAGTCCCATCCTTGTAGTATTTCAGTCAAATAGCATGAGGGTGTACGTTTATTCACATGCTGATTTTTCTTAGAAAACTCTTCATATTCATCTTCATACTCTTCTTCGCAAGTCCTAGATAATACATTTGGCTTCTTTATGAGAGACCTATTATCATGCACAGTCCCTGTAGAGGTGTCAGAGCGCTTTTTTTGACTTCTGACATCTTCACTCAATTTTTTTCCACTTGCCTTTTTATATGGTACATGTGAATCATACACAGATGACTTAAATTTTTCCAACATAGTTTGCTCTCCTTTTAACTTTAGCTTACAAAGTTCAGCTTTCTCTGTCTTTTTCTTCAGTGCCTTGTTCCTTTGCACCGCAAAGCTATGCCAGAGTCTTTTTCCTTCTGTCCCATCAAAACGACTTTTGTTGTAACTTTCTTTGGTAGTAGTCACTACATCAGGAGTGCGTGTACTTTTTCCATGTTTAATTTCTCTGGCTTTAAATTCAATAACTACTTTCTTTTGCTTTTCAGTTTGGATTAAAGAATTGCCTGTGGTTTTGCTTCTATTTGAAGATTTTCCTTGGGATTTTCCATCAGTGCCATAAGAACTATTAGAACTTCGGTCTTGCTTCTCCTCTTGGCCATCTTTCTCTGTTTTGAATCTATAAAAACATAATGAGAAAAGAAACGTAGAGACTTAGGAGATCCCTACCTGGTTCTTAAAAGGTGAAAGGATATGAAACAGGAAAAATAATTTTCCACTTGTCTTGTTTCACATATTCTTCCCTACGCAAGCCCTACTGGCCACTATTAGGAGAGAGTACTGGACATAGTTCTGGCATGAACATAGCTACTGTTTTATGGTTATATTATACCATACTAACAAACATGTTTAACAGCATGTGTACATGCAGCTAAATATCCTACAACTTACAACTCCAGTTAAACACAGAAGCTGCAACAAGATTTTACCACGATAAAGAAACAACCCACAGCCAGTGTTCAAGGCCAGAGTGGATAGAGCATTAGGCGACCTGGTCTAGAGTGAGGTGTCCCTGCCCATAGCAGGGTTGGAACTAGATGATCTTAAAGTCCTTTCCAACTCTAACTATTCTATGATTCTGATTATCTGGCTATAAACCAGGCGGAATCTTGACTGGATTATATGTTAATATGCTATTTGCCATCTGAGGATTCATGCGAACATTCTCGCTTTATACAAAGTAGTTTCCGAACACTGTTTGTATTTGCTATACTCAAGGTGAAACATTACTTTCTTTGCCTTGGAATCAATTACTCCAAGCATCAGGAGAAATCAATGATTTCAGAACTACAGGAGTCTAGTAAAGGTACTAAGTTCACTGCAGAACTACCCGACAGACTTCACCAGAGCCTTTTTTTGCTAACAAAACATGCGTAGTATGCAATAGACCAACAAGGTAGTATTCAAGACACAGGGAAAAAATGTATTTTTATGACATCAGTATTGGAAGGATAAAATTTCTACCTCATCTGAAGTGTAGCAGCATACTACACCTACAAGTTAAAAAAACTAATTTTTTTTCAAGTATGAGTTAAAAAAAAGGTAATTCTAAACCCTCCCAAACTGCCCAGCTTAGACAGGATGCCATCATTAATGCAATACCAATACTTCATCAGTAAAAATACTGTATTTTATTTGGGGAACGAGTCAAAATTGTTAAATTCAGTATAAAAAAGTAAAATAATAAGACTTTTTTAAGCAGTTCCACTTAATGACAGCAATACATTACCTCCGAAATTCTGTCTCTCCTTTCATAATACAATTATAAGATCTTATGTCTTCAGTGCTCTGAAAGAAGGAAAAATCCAAGGGCTTATGGAGGAAACTACAGTTAAAAAGATAGAACAAGCTATTATTCCATACTAGATTCACTCTGATTTTGAATAAGTTAACCTTGAAAGAGGCAATCACACGCCTTGCTATAATTTAGTATTTAGATTTTGTGCTATTTAAGAACAACACAAGGGGAAAAACTGAATGTGTCACACAGTCCTGGGTTATGAATAAAGAAAGGTCAAGTAAAACACATTTAGGATTCATGTGTTTCATATACTCTACAAATATATTAGTATGTAAATATACATTTTTATATATTTACAAAAATTCTTAGTGAAAAAGAAAGTGACCTGAAGATTGCTTCCAGCTACCCATTAGGTAAGGCCAAAGAGGATCTTTCTACAGGAGGTTTTCATGCAGAAGAAATGCATTATTGATTTTCATCAGATTTACTAATAAGGTGGAACAGTGTGAAACTGCAGTTACATAGGCCTGGTTAAGAGTGAAGACAGTCCCCAAACAAAGCATTTGAACAATCCGTATTTAGAAAGCAGTCATATCACTGCTTGGCATATCCATATTGCAAGCTGTCACATGCATGTTGTGGAATAACTGGAAGGCAACTTTCATCAGGTCAGAACAGAAAGCAGTTTGTTATTGCAGCTATGGGAAAGAACAGAAAGCAGCAAAATGACAGACCCTGCTGATATGAACTCTGCCAAACAGGGCACTTTATTTTTACACACCTTTGGGTTTGTGAAAGCCTGGAAACTGAGCTTGGCTCAAACACCACTTAAGCAAGTTTCTCTCAAACACTGCTTAAATCGAGCTTGTCTCAGATACCATTTGCATTCGACCATGGGAGGCCTTGCAAGAATTATCATAAATGAAGCAAACAACAAGGATGTTAGCTTTCACCACTGCGTTGGCAGGACTGTTCTGACCCCCTGTTCAAAGCTGGTGAGCCTCCACAAGACTGTAAAAAATGCTGACTCAAATAGTGGACACCACAACATACGCATTAATCTCTCCAGGAATAAACACTTGAGTTTGCTGAAGAGTTTCAACATCTGGCCTCATTTATGCCTTAAGTCCAACCAGGCAATTGACTCTGAGTCACATATGTTTTCTGACCAGGTTGAGACAGGGTCATATGACTTCGTTTTCCCAAAACTACAGCCAGGTGTAGGAGATTACAAGAACAGTACTGGATTACTTCAGATAAGGAAGCTCCAGACAGCACATCCTTTTGCAAATAATTTACTCCTTCAATAATTGGGTCATGCTGACTCAGTAAGGCCATTAGGTCTGCTGCAGAGATTTTCCTGCTTACGGAGGTCCACAAAAGACCTAGGAGACCTTAGCTGGTTTACTTCCACATTGGAAAGCACTTCATGAAAAAAAAAAAAATTAAATGAAAGGGTTGCAGAAACGACCGGAATCCTGATGAATTAATGAAATTTTGAGAAATTCCATCTGTGGTTGGTTCTGGAGTTGTGACAGCAGCAAATCCAATGAAATCGTAACTTATGAGGCTGTTAAAGGCTACTGCCACTGAGAATCATATCCATGCAACTTACTGCAGGAAGACTCAATTATTATCAAAAGGAATCTAAGGGGTTTATTGGTTTAACAACTCAGTTAACTGTCAATCAGTGAACTACACATTCAGGATCAATACCAGCAGTACAACAGAAAAACTGTAATAACAGACAATTACAAAGTGATACCAGATCAGATAATGTGGTACATTCATGCGTACTTGGGCACACACACTCATGCTGTTGAAGATGTGGGTGCTCCAGTTGTATGCACAGCCAAACCACTTCCTACAATCTGCTAATGCAGTCGCTGTTGAGAAAGGCCCCCCATGAGGTCACATACACACCCCCAAGGTGTGGGACCCTACATGATGCCCACCCTGTACTTTCACTCCACCAGCTAAAAGCAAACAGGCCTAAAGTTTTCTGTAATCTGTTGTCATGCTTATAACACACACACACATAAAACCAAAACAAACACACAATCCACTTAAATGGTTACTCTCACCTGTAAGAGGTGAAGATACCTCTTATCCATACTATGATCACACTGAAGAAACACTTGCTATTATTCAGAGGTTTCCTTATCTTTTTAACTTTATTAGTTTGCATTCTCACTGTTGCTTATGCTGGTCAATATCTGCATACAGTAGTATTCAACATACTCTCAAACAAACCAAAGTGCCATGCAACAGTTAAAACTGTATTCTTCAAACTGGTATAGGCATTAGCAATGGCAATACAGCTACAGTATGACATTTTAAGCCAAGTTTTTACCTTTGTATTACAGAAGTAAAAAATCAAACCAAACCAAACAAAAAAAAAAACCCCATCCCAAATAAAACCTAAGCTAATAAAAATAAAAAAAAAAAAAACAACACAAAACCCACACACCTTATGATGAGTTAATGCTAAAAGATAAATTGAATAATAAGGAATTATGAAGGAAAAAAACAGTTACAAATATCTGGCTTTGAACAACATTTTCTAAGAAAGCAAAAGGCTTCTAGCATGTATAATTCAGTTTATAAGGCTATAATACCACACTCATTTATAAACACTTCAAAATGTTTGGGTTTTTTTGAGACATTTATGGTAAGACAGTTAAAAGGTCTCTTCTTTCACACATACCTTGCAAAATCCAAAAGGAAATAAATCTAGCAAATGTCAGATGTGGATTTATTTGATATATATTACACTTCTATGAGAAATAACTTCCCAGAAGGCAACAGAAATAATAAAAAAGAATAGAAAGCTACCTACAAGAATAACCAGAAAGATTATCTCTCCTTTAGCACCTCCATTTTACAAGTGATTCACTGAAAACTTACTCACTCGATACAAATATGTATCAGTGTATACTAAGAATTCTGGTCACTGATCTATGTCTTAGTGGTTAAAATGAAATATTTGAGAGTTATTTGCTAAAATGCTCTTAAGTACAATTTATGAATAATCATAAAATTAAGACATATGATTCAAGATAAAGAACAATCCAGGAAAACAACAGCAGTTTTGGCAGTTGTTTTAAACTCGACTTAGCTCAACAGGAAGATATACTAAAAATAAAAAAAATCTGTTGTTTTCTGATACCCACACTACTCATAAGTCTGGAGAAAAAGGTCTAGAACTTGTAGTTAAACAACAGATTCAACCCTTCTGTGGTTCTTTACAACCCCACCTTTAAATTTGATGCAGCCTTCTATCACAAGACTGCTAAACAATTCATGCTCTTCTCTTGAATGTGGGGTTTTGAATTGAAATAATAATAATAACATAGTTGTCCTACTTTGTCATCCCAGCCATCCAAACTGTCTTCCTTTCCAGTTAATTTCTTCAGTTTCTTTTTAGACATCTTCAAATCCTAAGAAAAACAGTGTTGCCATTGTAAGTTTTTATTTCCAGCTGGTATATAAACCAAATTTTAACTGTTTATAGAAAAAAGAATACTTGAATATTCTTCTTTTGTTTCTCATTACAGAGCCACAGCAGCTTCCAAGAGATTTTAACAAACTTATTCACATCTAACTACTAAGAGACCTTCACAGGGAGGAAAAGAAAAAAATTAAATAGAATGGCAATTACTTTACCACCTGCTCTAGAGACACATACTTTGGACCGGCAAACATACCAGACCAATCGAAACAAACATCCTTTAACAGTTAGTCATACAAACATCAAGTTTTAAAGCAGTTCCAGCTATACAACTCTTGCTTTAGGCGTCCCCCCACCCTTCCTCTGGGGCAGGGATACTATCGTAACATCTCACAACAGCTACACCACATTCTACATTAACTAGTTCTACAAGCCTGCCGCGAGAGGGCTGTAAGAAAGCCCCACCTGAAGCTCCCAAAGCTTTAAAGGTGAATTTCCAGAGTACAGGTCAACTATCTAAAAAGATAATCCACAGAAGGAGCTGAGCCATAAAGCAAGGAAGACTAAGCAGAGAGCTCTTTAAGGCAGTCGTCAACACAGGCGGGTTGAAGTGACTGACGGAAGACCTG